TCAAATAGCATAAGTACCAGCATAATTTGATGGGAGGTATGTCAAAGTGTCAAGGAGGCACTGTGATTTTGATATTAAAAAAAATGGTTGAGAGGCATTGTGAATGCAGATGGATTTAGTGACTTCTGAATGACAAAATCTTGAACATTTTTCCTGCCGCATGATTGTATTCTGTAATGTTAAAAGATGTTTTTTGCCTGAGATTCTTTAATTTTAGACTTCATTGCAGATGCATGTATGCTGCAAAAGTAGAAGTTTAATTAAAGTGCAAAAGATTATCTATGTGATAAATTCCAACTTTACTTTTCTGATCTTGTCTTTGTGTGTTTGTCTATGGAAGTAAAGGTAAAGGAAGTAGAAGATGAGGGTGAGAGGGAGAGGAGGCAGAGGTAGAGAGAAGAAGAAAGAAAAAAGTTAGGAAAGGAGAATTCGAAGGAAAGTGAGGGGAATGTAAAGTGTGTTATGCATGATGGAGGGCGATGGGAAATTTTGAAATTTCCGAAACCCACTGCTGAAGAAAGAGGTAGCAAATAGAGTTTTAAATGTCTGTGTCATTTGTCTGTGCAGTGTAATACAGGTAGGCATAATGTTTTGAACTGTCTTTTTATGTTTTCCATCTTTTTCTGCAATAATAAAACTGGAAAAGCATTAACAAATTTTTCAAATTCAGTTAGGTTTGGAGTCTTATTTTTCATTAAAGATTTATCCGGCTTTTAGAATTTGGCTTTCAAAGAATGGTAGGGTCAGAATTTGGCATGTCTTAAGACAAGCTTCTCCTTTTCAGTGCGAGGGGTTTTATGAGGGTGACTTGCCAGAGCTACTCAGAAGGTGGCAAAAAAATTCCTGAAAGTTGACTTTTGAAGAAATGTGCACTTCCCATAATTTCAGTTCACCTCTTTATCCTCTGTCCATCACCTTTTTCAGTGTAATGTTATTGTCATTAGTTATAAATCACGTCAAGGATTATTTGTTAATTTTATATTAATAGTTCTTGTCTTCTTGATTATCACCACAACCGCCCTAGAATTTTCTGAGCCCTGCTACTGCCTTATTTAGTTGACAGCCTGCCCCCAGCTTTGTTCTTTTATTACTGATAGCAGTTGTGATATGAGAGGTACATGGTTCACAGTGGCAACAAATGTAAACAGAAAGCAAATAGACCTGTCTGGGAAACCTCAAAAATAACACACAGCTAACCAAAGAAACCACAACGTTGGTTGCCTTAAATGAGGCAGCCTTCCTTTGATCTTTGCACTAAGTTAATTGTTTTTATGGTTGGCAGGACAGGTTCTTTTAAAAAGCCAGGGAGAAGAATGGCTCTTTTCCTAAGTGGCAGCATTGGTTTTGTGGATACTTCATCATAATGAGTAACATCACAAAGGCTTTCATTGTGCCATGTGGCAGAATACTATTGTAAGGGGAATTGTTATTTTTCTTAACACCTATATAATATCTGCTCTACTTTATCTATTAGCTCTTTTATCTTTTTTATTGAAGATGTTTAGTTCTCAGTTATAAGTTGTAATATTTTTTGAAAAATACCATAGCAAATTAATCTTCTGTTTCTCCTTTTTAGCAAGAACTGTTTCAGACACAGATGCCCTCAAAGATTTGTACCTCTGCTGCATAATTTGCATAATGGATATTTCCTGTGAGGCTGCTGTTTGTTCAGTAAGGCACTTCAGGGTAAATTCTGATTGTAGAGGAACTAAAGAAACCAGAGAGAGATATTACTGCTTTATTTTAATGTCAAAGTGAATCAGTGTATGTGGCTTTTTGTGTCTCCACAGAGATCTAAGCCAGGAATCAACAACTTTCCTGCTCACTGCTGGACCTCACCCTGTGCTCAGGTTTAGTGTGGCAATCCTGACTTGTTTCAAAACCACCAACAAAACTGAACGGGCACTCCCAGGGACAATAAAACCCTGGCTGGGTTATTGTTACCCACCTCTAGGTCTGGAGGATGGATTACCTCAATATTTAGTTTTGTGGGATGATTTCACTGTTTTGTCACCTCTCGCTTTCTGTGTAGCTGAAAGCCAGCTTTGGTCTTGCAGATGACCTCAGTTCATATTCAGTGAGAATAAAATAGGGTAATGCCAGGAAAGAGCTGCTCCCCAGGAAGCTCTGGGCATGTACCCCAGGGCCTGCGTGTTGCTTACAATGCCAGAGCATGTAAGCACAGGGCCTCACTGAAAAAAATAGTGACAGTGCCTGGCCTGAAAAAAGATGGAGACATTTGGAAATGTTTCAGAAATTGGATATTACAAAACATTTTAATTTAGACACATATATTATCTATGTTTATTTATATATATATAGAGTTGTATTTAGATGCATATATTTATATTTTTGGTTTGAATATTTATGTTTCATACTATTGAAGGAAAATATTCAGGAAGATTCAATGCTACTTTGGTTCTGACTTTATTTTGCTTGAATTGAGTGCACAGTTTCTCCTTCTTTATCCACACTTAGCATAACTATCCAAATGAATGTAAAATACAGAATGGTGTGTGGAGAATTTAAAAGGTGATGCAAAAGTCCTAACTGAATACCTAAAATACCTGGATGTAGATTGAACATTTCTATATATTTTAGAGTTAGAATTAATTGCAATTTATCTGCTTGACATTTTCTCAGTCAGTTTTATTAATGTATTTTCACTTTGAGTAAGATGCATTAGCCTTCTTATAAATGTGCTGGTTCTGAAATGCAGTGTTAGTAGAAGCTACCATCCAGGGCTCCCCCTTAATTACTTACTAACTAGCTAACTTTTTAATCTATTTACTTAGTTACTTATTTTAGTTTAAAACTTCACAGACTTTAAATAATGGGCTTTGTATTATGCTATCACCAAAAGTACCAAATCCCCCAGCTGACAAGTGGCTAAAAATATAGGTGCAAGAATCAAACTTCCTTTTCTGGTGGTTTGCAGTCTAGGTAGTACAGTGTATACATCTATTTATTTTGCTATGTCATTCAAAAAAATGTCTTGGCTATTAAGTACTATGATTTTCAGCTGATATTTTTCAGTTATTTTCTTCTTCCCATTTATCATAATATATAGAGACATAATTAGTTTTATAAAATACTGAATATATAATATAAATATGAGACTTTGGACATGTGGTTTCTATAAAAAAGCTTGTTAATTTTGCTGGCTGTACCAGTATGGCTTTAACATATATCATACCTGCACACAAGGTAACTTATTTTTGTCTTTGTTGCTTCAGTTCAGCAAGTGCAAAACTATTACATGTGCAGCAGTTTTGTTCCGCAATTAAATGTCTTTAACAATATTTTCCCCACAGCTCCATTCTGTCTACCAAGTGTGATGTGCTTTTTATACACGTATAGGGCTGAGCAGCTGTTTCTGTGGGGAAGTTCCATTAGACCATAATAATCTCTAGTTAATTGCACAGCAAATATTTATTTCTCACACATCACATTAATGAAAAAAGTTCAGTGAAAGACCACATCAGCTTGGCAAACAACACCGATCAAGCTATATAAGCCTCTAAAGGCATTCTTGGCAGAAATCCTGTATCTTGAAGAATTGTGTACCCTTGGGAATACTGTCATCATTTAATTACTAGGTGATAATGTTGTTGCAGGTTTATTTATTGTTGTTTTGTTTTTCACCTAGAAGAACAATAACAAAAAATTTGTTTTCTGTGTTTACTAATGTGCCATGCCATGGCTACAACAGTATAACTGAAGAATGAGAATTTTCAAGCTTCTAAACCCCCCATTTAATCTTAATATTCAATAAGATTAATAATTTATTTGTATTCAATATTCCTAGATTCAATATTCCTATATTCAATATTCCTAGTCCTCTTCATATATAAACATGAAAGGAACTGTAAAAATCAACTTTCAAATTCCCCACTTTGATTACTCTACAATAAAGACAGCCTGTTTCTTGTCTAAGAGCAACATGGATGTTTTTCATATATCTGTAACAATGATATTTTCGCATCCCACACATATCTTTGTATTCCCTTCCCACTAGTGCTAATATTCCCTGTGCTGTGTTGTGTGAGAAGGCAATCACATTATTTGCAACTTTTTGTAGCAACAAAGGACGATGGTGCATGAAGTCATAAAATCTTTTTAAGCAGAGGAAGCAGAAAGCCTAAATTGTTCTGACTGTTGAAGTTCATTTTGATGCTCTAAAATTTATACCATTTTTTTAAACATTATTTTCTGATAACCTCATGAATATTTATTTTTGGTTGCACAAGCTTTGCTTTTTATGCAATCTACTTCTTCTGAAGCTGACCCAAAAGAAGGTGCATTGAGTTTGTATGACTTATAACAACTCATAGTCTTTCCACAGAGATTCAATTTAAATAACTAGGAATTAATTTACATTTTAATTAATAGAATTTAATATCAATTACCTGGACTGACTAGCCCTGTTTATTGAAACCTGGAGGAAAACAATGACATGTTGTTGCTTTGCTTTCTTTTCTTCTTATATGCCTTTATCCAAAGGTGATTCGCTTGTTATTTATTATGTGAAGCACACATAGAACTCTGTCCATGAATGTGAAAAATTTACTCTAAGTTCTTCCTGGCTGTAAATAAAAAGGTAACCACTTTCACTAAGAGATATGGTCATTATAAATGAGAAGAGAAACTCTTGGAAATGCAAAATTCTTAAAAAAAATCTGAATTTTGTCTGAAATGTGAATAAGAAATGTCTTCTGAAAATAGATGAGTTATAATTTTCAAATATTGTAGTGTGGAAGGATTTGGATAAGTTAGGACTTCATATCTCTTGTCCATGGGTAAGATAATTTATTTAGAAATGAGAACTAAATACAAGGAATTTCTAAATAAAATTTTTTAAATTTTATTGTTACATGAAATTTTAAGAAAGAAATATTTCTCATTTAATCCCAAAACATTTTTGTACTGAAAAATTCAATTAATAGAATAGATTTTAAAAAGCATATAAAAATAACACTTAAAACTCTACTGTATTTTCAAGTATATATATGTATGTATGTATGTATGTATATACTTACTGTATCTAATTTTTTTGCTATTTAAATACTGTCACACTGCAGAGATGTAATGTGAAGCAGTCCATTTTAAAGGTGCTGATTCCAGTAGGAATTATCCTCGAATATGTTATTAGTTATCAAATTGCCAAATGCTTTGGTAACGATTCATTTTGGGGGCACACACCAAGCAGAATAAAACCAAATAGAATTTTCTATATTTCTAAAAAAACCACCAAAAGCCCAACAACAAAAACCACTCAGAAATATTACAGGTATCATGGTATCTTTCCCAATTTTACCTTGAAATAAGTGATAGAAATACACAGTCCAAAATATAGTACCCTGTAGCATATGGAATAATCTGTACCTAAAATGGCCTTTCTGTGATATAGGTATTATTGCAGAAAGTGATAAGGAAGCGTGCTGTGAAATTTTCACCTGGTTTCCTTCTGGAATGCCTTGCTTTGCTTTTGCTAAGGATTAGAGTGACTGTACAAAACTCTTATAGAGTTAAATCTTACTATTACACAATTGAATATTCTATAGGTAAGGAAGAAAGATGTAGCATTTGAAGTTTGATGGTAATCAGTAAGTACAAAACCAAAATATATATCATGCCTCAGTAAAGAAAAAGATATTCTTGAAAATGTCCCCACTTCTCTGTTTCCCTCCTTTCCACTCATATGTATTACCTATGCTATCTGATGTTAAGGGGAAATATTTGTGAGAGATGATGTCTTGGTTAAGTCAGATCTGTGAAAACAAAAAATGAACATGCAAACAAACAAAAAACCCCAGCACATGAAATAAAAGCAATCTGTGAAGTCAACTTAGAGTGAATATTTACATTGTGAGAAGCTTGCCAGTGGCATTGAACAACCCTGTAGACTGCTCATTAGTACCAACAGAGAACCACTGTTTGTCTCCTTTGTGTGTTTTAGAAACTATTATACTGTAATCTTGAAAGCAGAAAATTCTCAACTGGCTAAAACTCTTTCATATCAAACATTGCAATAGAACTGTGTATTTGCTAGGGTGTATGAATAAAGAAGATCAGAGGCTGCAGAGGGAGAAAGAGATAGGGAAAAGAGGAGGAGAGAGAGAAAAGAAAAAATGAGCAATTTTTCAATGGGGAGGGTATGGAGAGGTTTTGTACAGAAAATTATTTCACACTCACCAGTTCTGATTAAAACCTGCTCAGTTTGCATTCACTGCTTCTGCTCTGGTTCCAGAATATATAAATACTGAGATTTTTGGGTGGCACTGAAACCCCTGTCCAGGACTCCAGGCTGTGAGGAAAATCAATGAATGGAAAGAGAGCTGAAAGCAAGCAGTGGGATTTGGAGTAGCTTCAGTGAGAAGTCCCTCCAGACATTTTCTCTTGGGCTTGTTATCCTCCTATTTTTCAATTACTGGAATAGATCTTTGCATATGTCTACTCAGTGAAAGAGCAGAAAATTTATCTGGTAACATCAATCCTTGCTGTCTTAGTGTACCAACAGAGATCTCATAAATAATTTTGTAAAGTCCATCCTCTTTTCATAGTTTTTAGTTTGAAGTGGTCCTTATCTAGTGCTAGTTAACAGAGTTAAATCCTTCACTAACCAAACTCTAACACCATTGAAGAACAAGAACAATGAAATAATTGCCAAGTTTTTATTGAAAAACTATATCCAAATTGCCACAATTCTTAAATCCCCAGGCAATCCCATTTTAGTCCCTGAAAGACATTTTCCCCTTGTTTTTCAGTTTGCCTTACAAAATACATCTCAATTTTAAGACTTCAATTCAGTAGGTAAGTGAATATAGAAAATTTATCACTTCATTGTTTTGTCTCAGTCATTCTCAGTCACACAATGTCTGAAACTCAAATGCAGATCTCCTGCAATTACAGTTTCCTCCTTATCTGTTTCATAAAAGAAATTCAACCGTGCAGCATACTTGTTGAACAGTTTTCTATTTTTCAAGTGACACAAAGAAAAATACAGTTATTATGCTTATTTCTTAGACATGTTCAAAACCTGAACTGAAACACCTTCCTACTCAGAGGGACAGGATATTTTATTTTCTACTATCAGGTACGTACTGAATACAAATTTTTTCAGTTCACTTACAAAGAATTTTGCATGGTATGGAAGAACACTTTTGTCATAAAACTTTAAGAAAACTGACAGGTTTCTCACTGATTTAGTCAGTAGAAGTATTTCCTCTGCTTTCAAAAAGACTAGGACTTAAGCCTTAATTTCCAGTCAGTTTTTGTATGTATAAATTTTTAGTATTTAGAAAATGGTAAAGACTTGAAAACAATCTAACAAAGTTCTTAACTTAGTGAAACTTAAATATTCTGAAGCTTTGTATTCTCTCTCTTTTTGTGTATTGTTTTATTGAGTGTTTTTGGTATTGCTTTTGATTTTTTTTTTAGTTTTAAAACATTAGCACTTCAGTTTCTCTACATGCTGAATGAGTAACTGCTGAGAATGAGAAGTTATATCTTATAGATCTCTTTAGTTCACAAACTGAAGTTCAGCAAATGTGAGGTCTTTCCGCACTTTTCTATCATCATGCATTTAAGCTTTCTTTTTCTTATTTTTAAATAAAGTTAGAAGCTGTGTTCTGAACTTGACATCTGCAATGCAAAATATAAGATGTGAAAAAGAAAAGTAGCACAGGATTAAAAGCAACAACAAAAAATACAAATAAAAACAAAAGAAAGCTATTTAAAGATACAGAAATATTTTAGGAAACATAAATTTTACTCCTAACTTGGATACAATTTAGAGATATAGCAGGAAATAGTTCTTTGTCTTTTTTCAAAGTTAATAAAGGTCTACATTAATTTTTACATGTTAAGGGAAACTTGCACATGTAATTTTCTCTTCTCTGTCCATTACCTCCATTTTGAGTATAATAATTTGCACTGCAACTGAAACTATACAGTCAAGAATTTCTCTGTATTACATTGTATATTTGAATTTGTTTAGAAAATAAAAACCCATTAAATTAATAATATAACTTTCATGTAGTTTTTCTATTAATATATCCTTTGTGTTCATTGAAATTTATTTTATGTGCGTATGTTGGTGTTTATCTGATGAGATTATGATACTGAAAAGCAGAGGGAAGAGCTAATAGTGATTTAAAAGGTGATCTGTCTCAAAGAAAAACAATTCAATTTGTTTTAAAATTTGTTTAAATTAAGATTTAACAAGCCACATAGTCACGGACTTGTGAATTTCAAGGTGTTTACTTATCTTCCCTCTTGACAGGATCCATTTATAGTGGTATCAACATTTCCATGGTGTAAAGGGAAGAAGGATACCAGTGTTTTAGTATCCTTTTGAAAGACAAGGAAGACATGGACCAGAAAAAATAACTTTAAACCCTGGTTTACTTCAGCTGGCACAGAATCTTTTAAATTTTGCAAAAAGCATTTAAGTAGTACCATGGAAAATACACTGCAGTTACTATTAGAGTAGCAGTCTATTTGGGCTTTGTTGTTCAAATTTTGCAGTGAGCTGAGATCAAAGCCTTTAATATGATGCAGAAAGATGTGAGTTAGATTAGAACCCAGTCAGATATGGTCTCCTATAGGGACAGTTATGCCACAGACTTACCTGGATTGGTAGATATCAGAATATGAAAAGCAACATTATTATTTCTGATTATTAAGGTTGGTGAAATATGATTAGTTGTAATAATTAAGTCTCCCTGTGTTAATTTTAAAACTGAGACTACTTTTGTGCAGAAAATGAATGAATGCTGGAAGAATTATGCCAGTTTGGGCCTAACACTGGAAAAGACAAAGGAAATTAACAGGTAAACATAAAATGTTCCTTTACACATTCCTTCTTTATCAAGAGGTGATACAATTAAATAGGTGATAAAATTAAATAGGTTTTCAAATATTTCCTTGTTCCTGTGGAGGTCAAAAAATCCATCCTGGTGGATCTATTATGTGAAAAGATCGAACCTTTGCTTTGGTACAAATATCCGAAGGACAATAGGCTGCTATTTTTGAAATGCCCAATTTAATATTTTCAGGGACTCTCTGGTCTCAGCCTTATCTTTCAGGAACCCACTTAATGGAGGCCTCCTAGGAAAAAGTAGAACAGACTATAGTTATTAAATATATTTCCAGTATTACCATTAAAGATATTTTCTGCTAATTATGTAACATCTGTCAAAAGACTTTTTATACTCGGCCACTTCTCTTCCCTGTATATCATGTCATTCTTTCTTTTTTTTTCTCTTTTCCAAAAATATTCTTGCCCTTGGTTTCACTATTGCACTCTTTTATATATATATAAATATATATAAATATATATAAATATATATAAATATATATATATAATTTGTCTGCAATATAACTTCAAGATTTATTTTCTCTCGCGTTTTTACATGCAGGAATAAATATATCAAATATACACAAATTATATTAATCATCTTACATTTTGAACTACATTCTGGAATTTATATACAGAAACAAGATGAAAAGAAAAAATCTCAGAGAATGGAGCCAATATATCTTTATATTTTACAGGGGGGACAGGTAATTCAGTATAAATCTGTGCAAATATAAAATATTAATCCCATAAAGTACAAGAAAGCGGTATTCTGTATGCTCTAAAGAGGCTTTTTTTTTAAATGTTATGTAATAAACGATTTAGGAAACAAAACAAAAAAAAATCTATAAATTGGCAGAGCTACATTTAATTAGTCCTTCTTTTTCATTTCGCTGCAGTAGCCCTTTGACTTTAAAATGGTTTGATGATATATTTCCTTGCTTTCCAAAGCAATGCAGTTCACAAACACACAGCATGTAAGTACTCTGAGACTCCTGAGAGTCTACAGGAAACTTTTTTTTTTGACAGAGGAAACGTGACTATTAGGAAATTAGTTTGGAAAACAGCTGTGGCTCCTAATATTTAAAGAACTTTCACACTTATTTAGGTCAAACTCTTTCCCAGCCACAAAGATCTGAAGTATCTTCCACATTACATTACAGGAAATATTTTGATAAAGGGCCTGTCTTATGTCATATTTTGGGAAAGGAATCCAGGAAACAGATGATGGACAATGAGCATAATGCATCTCAGTGATTCCCAGCTGTTCAGTGTGATGGGCAATAAAAAAAACATTAAAGAATGTGATAACTTTAGCCCCAGCTGAAGACAAAGATTAAGGAATCTGGTTTTGTGGTCTCACTATTGTCTTGAAGATTTACTTGCTCTTGGTGCTGGAGTCATCCAAGACTGCACTATCCATGTACACTCCCTGAGACATCCATATTGCCATTAGTGGGATGAAGACATCCTTGACTGCACCCTTGACTACATCAGTTGACTGCCAAACAGGTGGCTTGTTTGTCACCTTTTTTCCACATAGTACTCTGGAACCTTCATGCCAATAGCTGATAAATACTATGTGATAAATACTAGTTTTGAATTCAGAAGTACCTTTTTTTTTGTCAGAAAATTCATAAACAGTGCTAAACATTGGTGAAAACAAAATATTCCAAGAAAATTCTATTTGAAAAGTATACTGAACAAGTTATTTGTTCAATAATATGCTTGCGACTTATTTAACAGTCCTCTAAAGGCAGTATTACAGAAGTGTTCCAGAATATCTGTACTTTCTTTAGATAACTGTAAACTTTGCTAGGAAAATTTATTTATTTTATTTATTTTATTTTATTTTATTTTTAAATAAACAACTTTGTGTTTGTCTGGTTTTGCTAGCTCATAAACATTGCATTTGGTGGTGGGATCACAGACTTTGCACATTACCATCCATTAACTACATGCCAGAACTGATCCTTACTCTATTTTATTTTTTTCAGTATTTTCTCAATTTGTACATTTTATCAGGATGTTTTTTGGTCACAGTTGCTAGCATGTGGTCATCAGGGATATCATATTAAGATTTACATTTCTTTCTTGTTCAAATAAAGAGTAAAATACTTATCTTTATTCCTAAAATTTAAATTCACATCACACACACAGCCAACACTATTGTATCAAATAGAGAATGCAACTTTTTTTAAATAGAAGATCTTTAAGAGGAATTAGAACTTGAAAAAGAAAGTAAGAGAAGATATTTATGCTATGCTGTTGCTTATATTATATCATATTTAAATATTGATTTGACATTTGACCGGAGGAGTACATTGCATTAAATAAATAGTTAATTTATCTCTACACAGTAAGAGGGGAACTAATTGTCCTAGAAAGCAGCACACTGAAAATTACGTGTTTAGAACCATCTGGCTAATATACAAACTTATAATTCTGCAGAGGAAATCACAGCTCTTTGTGATTACCCTTCTCAGAATTGCTCCTCCATCCACAGACATTGTTTCCTGAGGAGAATTACCCAGGGTATTTCTTGAAAATACAGTAGAACTGGACATCATATTCTCACCAAAACTCAGGGTGTCTCAGAGAACTTCCTAGTCTCAGAACACGTTCTCTTTCTGGTCTTTTAGAATGCAGACTGCACTGAAAATTCAGAAGGTGCCATTAACCTGTCTTTCCTACTTTTGAAATCATTAGATAGCAAGTTGGGCATTCAAAGAAAGCTATGTCAATATGTTCTCCTATTGGGAAAAGCATTTGTTGAACAAACAGGTTTGAGACCTGTTGGGATACATTCAGCATGGAGAGAGCAAGTCCACAGACTGCAATTTTGTATAGCCAGCTGTCCAGCCACAACCACAATTTCCTGCTCTTCTCTGTCTTCTGAAAGCTGCCTTCAACATGACATCTCTTTTTGGAGTGTAGGAGTACAGAAACCCCAAGTGTTAAATACTCGTATGTGAGGTGTAGGGACTGCTCACCATTTCTTTCCTTCATGTATTACTTTAATGACAAATGAGCATGGATGGGAGAAATACCTATAAGTCAGAGATAAAAAAATAAAATAAACATATTTTGAACTTCAGAATTTACTGATGGTACTGCTGATGAAACAGAAACACAGCAGCATCTAATTTATTTCTACTTGACCTCTTTAATCATCATCAAATATCCTGAGCTGGAAGGGAACCACAGGGATCATTGAATTCCAGCTCCTGGTCCTGCACAAGACAAGACCAAGAACCATGCCAGGTGCCTGAAAGTAGCACAGAAGTTAAAAGCTATTATTATTATTATTATTATTATTAGTAGTAGTAGTAGTAGTAGTAGTAGTAGTAGTAGTAGTAGTATTATACATATCTGTGTTTTACAGACCGACGTATGCAAAATGACTACCCCAAAATGACATCATACTCAAGAAATAAGGTGGATGAGGTTGCTTCTATTTCATTTTTATTCTGATACTTCTTATAGTACAGGTAACAGAAATTTTAAAACACCTGTGTCCGTGAGGGCACTAACAGCCTACCAAGGACCTCCCTGCCCTTCCCAGGTCCAGGACCCGCCATCAGCCCCAGCCTGGAGGTGCTGCACCAAATCCAGTCCTTTTGTGTAATTTCAAAGGGAATTAAAACATTTCTTTCTATTTTACTGAGTTCTTCATACCTGTAGCTCACAGCAATAAGATTCTGCCAGATGATGATTCACTAATGATTCTGCTTTGGAGACTCATTTTAGCATTGGATAATGATTTTCCAGGCAGAAAATCCATCAGATAATCTATTCTGTTTGGTTAATATATTAAATATATCACAACTGTTGAGTGTCATTTTTGGAAAATTATTTCCAACAGGAGCTGTGGTGGTTAAAAATTATGCTGGAAGGGTGGCAAGAAGGTCCTGCTGCACTGAAGGACCACTGCCAGAGGACAGTGTTGCTTTTCCATTTGTCCAGCCCTGTCAGGGATAGATTTACAAATATTTATGCTCAAGGCACAGAAAAAACACAGAAAGTAAAAAACAAAGAAGGTGTTGAGGTATTGACAGGGGAAAGTGAGGTTGGTTTTTGTTTTTCCACTGAATCTGAAGACTGCAAAATGAGTAAATCTGAGGTAATATGAGTCAGAAATCTGATAAGCAGGTGTAGT